TTCCTGCTCATTCCTGCTCATTCCTGCTCATTCCTGCACATTCCTGCGTATTCTGGAATTACAAATATCTCATGGATGACTACACGATCATTTATCGAGCTTGATTAAATGCAAACCGGAATTCCGGAATTTGTGCATATCCGGAATCACTAGGAAATGCAGGAATTCCTGGTCATTCCTGCACATTCCTGGCTATTCCGGAATTACAAATATCTCATGGATGACTACATGATCATTTATCGAGCTTGATTAAACTCAAACCGGAATTCCGGAATTTATGCACATCCGGAATCACTAGGAAATGCAGGACTTCTTGCTCATTCCTGCACTTTCCTGCTTATTCCGGAATTAAAAATATCTCATGGATGACTACATGATCATTTATCGAGCTTGATTAAACTCAAACCGGAATTCCGGAATTTGTGCACATCCGGAATCACTACGAAATGCAGGAATTCCTGCTCATTTGTGCTCATTCCTGCCTATTCCGCAATTACAAATATCTCATCGAGGGTGTGGGTGTGGGTGTGGGTGAGTGTGCGTGTGGGGTGTGGGTGTGGGTGGGTGTGGTTGTGGGTGTGGGTGTGGGTGTGGGTGAGTGTGCGTGTGGGGTGTGGGTGTGGGTGGGTGTGGTTGTGGGTGTGGGCGTGGGTGGGTGTGCGTGTGGGGTGTGGGTGTGGGTGTGGGTGTGTGGCGGAGTGCGGTGTAGGTGTGGGTGCGGGTGTGGGTTAGGTGAAAGAGGATACCCACACCAATACCCACATCACACCCACACCCACCCACCCACACCCACACCACACCCACCCAAACACACACTCACACCCACTTTGCATTTGTTCAAGCTCGATAAATGATCATTTAGCCGTCCATGAGATATTTGTAATTCCAGAGTAGGCAGGAATGAGCATGAATGAGCAGAGATGTGCAGGAATTAGCAGGAATTCCTGCATTTCCTAGTGATTCCGGATGTGCACAAATTCCGGAACTCCGGTTTGCATTTAATCAAGCTCGATAAATGATCATTTTGCCATCCATGAGTTATTTGTAATTTGGGAATAGGCAGGAATGCCTAGGAATTCCTGCATTTCCTAGAGATTCGAGATGTGCACAAATTCTGGATTGCAGAAATTCAGAAGGCGATGCAGGAATGTGTAACTTTTGGGAATAGGAAGTATTCTCCCATTCCCAATCATGAAAAAGTTGATTGTCGCTTGCTAGTAACATGTGATATATAATAATTCAATAGAGAAATTACTTTTTAATAATAAATAAGAATTTACATACGTCTTCATATTAGGTTCTGTAGCAAATAATCAATATCAAGCTTCATTGAAGCTCATAGACGTCGCCCTAATGCTTCAACCAGACATGATACTTCATTCAATCAGTTTGAAAAACACTCTACTTGAAACTGATGTTACCAATTTTATCGCTAAATGGTGTCTTCTCTTTTGTCCACCTTTAACGGTAACTCAACGATTATCAAATGAATTAGATTCCTGCTTCATAACTATAATTGATGAACCAATGAATGCGCGTATTGTATTAAATGATTTAATCAAACATCATACAATAAAAACTTACATTATTGATAGTTTAAAACGTTATCATGCATTCGATGATATTAGAACAGAATTACCCAAATGTAAACAAATCAAATATGATGAAACAATGTATAATCATGATTTATATAATGAATTAATTAGAATCCTACCAAATGTTACTATTCGTATGCTTCTTATTTCAACTATCGAATCATTATCATACGATAGTCAACGTTATTTGGGTAATTTTATAAAAAGAAATGATTTACCAATTCCATTTACATATTATTTATATAATAATGAAACTAATTTAATTGACTATAAAATCAATTTTAATCTATTGGCCGAAGTACAATGTTTATCAACAGAACATTTGATAATACAAGTTGGTAGTCCAACAACTATTGGTTTAGGTAAAACTAGTTTACTTCCATATATTTTTCGTGATAAACGTAAAGAGTCATTAAATACGTCTGGTTCACAATCCCTACGTTCTGGTTGTATCGATACACTCTTTGGCACAGCACAGATTGATCAAAATAAAGAGAAATCTTGTATAATATTCGATGTTCATGGAACAATATTATCAGGCATAAATGATACTATTATTCTAGCTCTTCAACAATATGCATCATTACAATTTCTATATGTTACTGAAGCAGATCTTGAAACGAACTTTTTACCTAATATGATTAATAATAGTATATCTAAACCTACAATTGTATGTATTTTTGATGATCATTATGATAAACATTTACATGACGAACATGTAAATCTCGTTCAACAATTTACAAATCGTTACAGAATGAAAAATTGGTCTTATGTTCAATGGTTTCTAATTCCTACAAAAAATACATGGTTAACACAATCGGATAATCAACAATATGATGAAAATGAAAGAATACAAACTTTACGTTCTCAATTAAGTTATATTTTACAAAAAATTAATCAAACAATAATTGATCCAACATTATTTAGAGCAATATTTCAAGTACAATCATTATATTGGTCACTTCTTCATTATAGTATGAATACTTTAAATTATGATTCGACATGTTACTTTGAAGTTGAAAGTGAATTAAAACAATTATTTAATGATTTATCAGATACAACTGATAATTTACTAATAACAACACCAATCAGTTATTTACAATCTAAAATAAAACAGAATCAAATGGATTTACCTAGAAGGAATAAAACAAAATTTGTAATAGATGAAGTTCAACGATATGAAAATCTTCTAAAGAAAATCGATCAAATATCAGATCATACACAATTTTTTATTGATCTATTAACAAAACGAACTTATATTGAAGTATTAATAACAGAAAAATATTTAGAACAATGGAGATCTGCTTATGAACCACGTTTAAGATCTGAATTAATAAATGAAAAGCATAAAATGATACATTTAACATCTGAATTAAAACGAATCGAAATGTTAGAAAAACAACAAAAACTCAATAAATCAATTGATATACAACAACAATTACAAATAGCAAAAGAAAATTATGAACAAAGTCACAAAAAATTAAATGAAATTGAAATAAAATTAATGAATATTGATATGACAATTGGTCTTTTCTTTGATGAAATATTATCTGTTAGTGATTATAATTCATATTTAAAAAATTCATTATCAATAGAATTACTAGATAAAATAGCCAAATGTATGATTGAAATGATGCATCGTGGTATAGCTATACATGTTCTACGTGGACGACCATTATAATGTGAGAGTATTTTATTAAAAATAATTTTAAAAAATTTCAACCAATGGTATAAACTAGGGGTGACACTTTAACTTTAACTTTAAAGAAAAGTTAAAGTTTAAAGTTGTTTA